AGTATCCATGAAAGTATAACTTAGCTAAGTGTTTGGTTGAGAAAAGAGATGTTATGTGATTTAATTCTTTTTAAGGAAAATGACTGAAAAATTTCGTAAAATCCAGGAGCTTCCCCAGACCCCCGACCATTTTCTGCGTACACTTCATTTCAATGCTGGCTACGCGCCTGTTTGGTATAAAATTACATTGCATAAGCTCAAAATCTTCTTGAAATATCGCCCGGAAATGATAGTGTTACACACAGACAGAATGTATAAATACGACCAAGAACTTTTACCTTTTGACCTCAAAATCAATGAAATATATGGAGATAATTAACAGTATTCAAGCTCAAAAGTCCATAAAACAATACACAATAGGAGCAGATCAAACATGGACCTCCAAAACATCAGAGATGGGATCTCACTATATACCAGTGAGGGGGTTTCATATTTAGACCTTTACTCCGCACACAGTGCCATTGAGCAGATAGGGATCTTAATCGTGCCAACGCCTGTCATGGCAAGGGGTCTAGGTGTTTAAGGTCTCATCTGAAAAACCTGCAACTCTCACTTTAAAGTTCCTAGAAGTTGGCGAAGGAACAGTTGCTACTTATTTTACATCCACTTAAATCGGGATTTGAACCAAAGACTTTCTAATCATGGATATTAGTGTGGAATTTTTTTTTCGATTTTGAACCCAAAGAATTCCGCTTATAAATAATTAGAGAAACAATTTCAAGCATAAAAGTTTTGTTTGTCATAATTTCAAACCTTTCAATGATACGGACTTGACTCTAAATACACAACACCACATTTGAATACAACTTTTATACGTTTGAAACTTTAGACATTTGTCACGCCTTTTTTGTCAATCTTCATTATGCAGCTCCAGAAAAATGATAATTTGTGTTCTAACATTTTTATTGATTGATATTTTTCCTTATTATTCATATGGATTTAAATGGAACTGTAAGCTTGGATGTAAATGTTAGTGTGTAAACCTCCATCGGCAAACAAATTTGTGAAGATTTGTGGAAAACCTGGGAAGGGGGAGGGGCGGTAGTTGGACGACCAAATTTTACGGCCGGGGGTCGGTAGTCGTGTGTGCTACATGGCACAGAGTAGATCAGTGAAGGTGAACGTATAATGGTTTGTGCAGAATAATCTGTCAGTGCAATTACCAACATGAAGTGCCAACATTCGCAGTAATACAGTCGCACCAGATAAGGGTACCCATTTAAATGCCCCAGTCTGATTGAAGAAATGATAAATTGAACCCGAGCTCTTGACGACATAAAAGGTCTGACAGAACAAAGGATATCGGTAGAAACGGGATACTAGTAAGTTTAGTTTATCTATATCCTCTGTTTAATTCTTCTAATAATTTGAAGAAAATCTCAAATCAGTTATGCTAAATGACCTCAAGTAAAAAGTGTCAACAGAAAAACTAATACTTATGTCTTTATTTTTTGGCCTTCATACGAATTTAATCTGCTCAGAAACATTCTACACACCCCTTTTTGTGTTACAGAACAAATAGGAATAATCCACTAGTAAGTAGATGTTTGTTTGAAGTAAGGTTTAAACCCCCTGCCTGTTTATAAACCCTATCAAAATCAAAGATTGTCTTAATTGATATAATACAAGAAATTCTTACGATAATAAAGTTAAAAAGTTTGATCTTTGTAATGGATCGCTAATGTTGGAAAAGTGAATTTGCACAGGTAAGTTCATTATAAAAGTGAAAGTTGGTTTTTATCTCAACAAAACAAAAAATAATTATATTGTGAAAATGATTCAGATATTTAATATGACTATTTATTTCGTGTATCTGACTACAATGAAATGAACAAATACATCAAAGTACATACTAGTATGATGGTTTACGTGAAATATTTTAATAATTTATTTAATCAATCTGAAATCAATATTATACATGTAATATCAAAAATGGGCTCAAACTAGATATTGCTTATGCGACAACAAAAGCATTGATCGAATATATGATCAAGATTTTATTTGATCACGATGAAAGATCACAGATGTGGTATCTAAAAGCAGTCCAGAATAATTGAGAAGTTTCTCCAAGTTCACATTGAATTGATTAAAATAAATGATTTCGGTTCATATTTACTTAGATTCAAATCTTGAATGGAACGTAATGATAAGTAGAAAAGTCGTTTGTTGTGAAGGTAGCTTTACTGATTAAATCCAAACGCTTATAAAGGCACAGTGAACAATAGATGATTTTCTGAAGAAAGGACTAAGGCTTTAACACCTCGATAAGCAATAACCGGCCTATAATATTAATTCCAACGAAATAAGGAGCTCAGTTTGACAGGAACTTGATTACTGTCAAATTTCTAATTTTCATTTAGTAGAAAATCTTGGTAAGTCAAATGTGCAACTAAAACTGTTTCCCCCCTTCTTGTCGATCTTCATAAGCATTAAACTGTCATTTAAATTCCAAAAATGCTTTGGAATATTGACTTTCATTTATGATTGATTTAACTAATATTCTTTTCTTCCAGGTGTGTGCCTTGCTATGAATGAACTCAGCCAGGCAAAGAGACATTAATATCAAGACATGGCGGGTACCATTCCCTCTACCAGTGGGCCCTATGTGCTCTCCAATCCAACGGACCTCCGCATCGGCATTCCGAAGACCCCCAGCCGGACCCGGTATATAACCGTGGCAAAGACGCACGTGCCTTTATTTAGTTACTCGGACAAACATAAACGAATCTTCTCACGCCTCCCGGTCGAGAAAGATGACTTCCCACATCTTCCACACAGAATGTCCACGATTCCAGAAGTGAAGAAGTCTCAGCTTAGACCCAAAGTTTTGAGAAAACCTGGAATACTGCGCATGCACACGTTTTCCGAATTTAGTACAAGGACTGAACAAACTGATCTTTCTAAGCTTCAAATCAGCAACCAAGAGTCAAGTGAAAGTTCAGAAGGGGAGTCGGCAAAACGGACAGGAAATGGGTTTAAAAAGCAGGAGTATCTAGTGTCTAAAATACAAATTCAAGAGAGAGAATCGACAATGCTTTCTTTGGATGGAATGTCATCAAACTTGACGTGTAGAAACAAAGACATTATAAGTGTTGAAACCGCCGTGAAACAAGCCATCAAAAGATATATGACAACCATTGAGAGACAACCTAAGATACAATTCAGACACAACAATGAGAACATGGCTGTTGTGAACCACTCTAAGAGGGAAAGTGTAACGGTGAACGAGGCAGAGGTGTCCAAGTCTGATCCAAATACACACAAACACGGATCAAAACATTCTTCTAAAAAAGAAAATTCAAAAAACAATAATCAATACGCTAAGTTCATGAAACCCATTCTATCAAAGATTATCACCTCTACGCCAGCTTGTATGTTTAAACTTTTTGGTCCCATTTTACTCAGCGCTCCGCATGGGATCAAACTTTGGCGCGGTGGAACTGAAGGACGCAGACGACGCATTCACTATCGCGAGATCCACGTCACCGAAATCTTATTGAAAGTAGCAAATGAAATCAATAGAATTGCTGGTATTCCGCCGAGCTTTATCATATGGGACAGGAGAATGGCAATGCCAGCGGACTTCAAGAACTTGGACCCAAACTACCTCACTGAGAAACAGTTTTCACAGTCACCATTCCACGAGGCGTTAGAACATTTCAAGCAATTTGGACGAGACAACAAATTGCCGATACTGCACATTGATATGCACGGAAAGAAAAATCGGAAAACAAATATGGATCTTGATGTGGGATTTAAAGCCATGGAAACTCACTGGAAAGAACCAAGTTTTGCGAAGTGGTTTAAATCTGAGACCGAAATCGCGTTCACAAATATGTTCAGCGATCCTAAATATACGTATGAGAAAAACAACATGCGGTTTACAGTCAACGTCAACCCCGCACTGTGTGGTGACTGGGGTGGTGACCTATACACCATGACCTGTCAATCCGTTGTCATGGGAACACCCGCCTTTCAACTAGAAATGCCACGTGCTATACGAAATCAGCTTATAGTTGATGATGAACTAGTCACAAAGCTTGCTCAGAGTATACTCGACATTTATTCTATTTGCTTAAATAACAGCAACCCACTTCATATAAGGATACCAAAGAGGGAACAGGCCTTTAATAAAGAACTCATTGAAAAAACACTCGCTGATCATTTGAAAATTGAAAAGACATTTCAAGAAAAACAAATATGATATAACGATCCTTTAGAATTTATTAAATAACAAACTGAAAAGCATTAATTGAAACAGTATACATCTCAGGAAACATGGAAACCAAATAGTAATTTTCAAATAAAAACATTCAAATTTAAATGGCTCTTCCAGTGGAAGACTGAATGATTTTTTGCGTGTATTATACGTGATATGTAAATAAAAACATGAAAACAAATTCACATCGTTGCATCTTTATATTAAAGAACAAAAGATTTTTACAGCTATGGGTGACCAGATGGCGGATTTAAAAAGAAAATATAGGTAATATCTCCTGCATAACAGTAAACTTTAAGTCATTTATAGTAAAAAACTAGGGCTGGATTGATATCAGGATTGAAATAGGTTGTACTGATGCTTAAAATTAATCAGAAAAAGTTAAGTACTTGTACATGTAATCTAAGGTACATGTATGTCTTGAACTTCATACACATATTCGGTAATCAAACCTGAAGGAAAATGAACAAACTCCTTATATGGATTGATATAACAAAATTAGGGATGGGCATTATTACTTCTATCCCGATATTGCAGTACGTTGAAAAGAGGCCCGAGGGTCACATTGATCACCTGAGCATATTGGCTTATTTCCGATTCAGTATTGAAAAGTTAACGATAGGTGATAGAATAAATTTGAATTTACACAACCTGAAGTATACTTCCATATCAATATATCTAATGGTTTAACCGTTCTAATTAGAAACTATTTTTTATGCGCCCGAATTTATTCGGGGCGCATATTGTTTTTGTCCTGTCTGTCTGTTTGTCTGTTTATCTGTTTGTCTGTTGTCAACTTTAACCTTCGCCATAACTTTTGAACCGTGAGAGATAGAGACTCCATATTTGGTATGCATACTCCACTAATAAAGCACTTTCAACTGACACCAAGGTCAATGACCCTGACTGTGACCTTTATGCTAAAAATAGCTTTTTCGAACTTTTGCCAGAACTTTTGAACCGTGAAAGATACAGACTTCATATTTAGTATGCATAGTCCACTAATTAAGCACTTTCAACTGACATCAAGATCAATGACCTCGTGACTTTGACCTTTATGCTAAAAATAGCTTTTTCGAACTTTTGAGCCGTGAAAGAGAGACTTCAATCCTACATATTTGGTATGCATACTCCACTAATTAAGCACTTTTAACTGACACCAAGGTCAATAACCTTGTGACCTTGACTGTGACCTATATGCTAAAAATAGATTTTTTCGAATTTTCGCCATAACTTTTGAACAATAGGAGATAGAGACTTTATATTTGGTATGCTTACTCCACTAATTAAGTGCTTCCAAATGACACCAAGGACAATGATCGTGTGACCTTGACTGTGACCTATTTGCTAAAAATTGCTTTTTCGAACTTTGTTGCCACCAGGCGCGTAGTGTTTCACAAACAAATCTTGTTTACTACATATTTTTTGATCCTCCATCGCAGTCCTACCCACACCCGGGGTCATGAGTTAAATAAATTTAAAATCATGAGGATGTTTCCATACTAATATGACTACCAGCAATCTAGTCCGAAATATCTGACGGTCTCCTGGTATTTCTTACGAGATGTACAGTGGCCAAGAAAACACGTAAAATTTCAAAATCTTCATCTTCGCTAGCCAAGGGTTTTTGGTCCGCATGGGAGCAGTGCAGACCGAAAACCCTTGGCTAGCGAAGATGCAAAATCTTGAAAAGAGCCTTGAAAACGTCAGATATTTCTTGACTTTGTTGTTCTTGAGAAGAGGCTTTTTAAAGCTATTTTCCCCAATACATTCTAGAGTAAAGTTTTGAGACCCCACTGTGGCTCCTACCTACCCTGGAGTTATGGTTTGAACAAACTTGAATCTAACTACATGAGGATGCTTCCACATTAATACGTCTAATATGCCTGTGCTGTTCTTGAGAAGATAATGGCCTTTTTTATTCTAGTTTTGAAAAATTACTTTTGCACCCTAATTTTTGCAACAGGAAAGAATGAACTATACCCATTACAAATGACTTGAGTTCACCGAGATCAGGCAAGATGCAAGTATTAATTTAGAACATTTTTTTAAAATAATTTTTTTTTTAAATGATGCAAGTTCCATGGATTTGAATGCGTACATAAAATCAATTTTTCCCCATAATAATCAAAATATTTTCAAAAGATTTTAGTACATGCAATCATAATTACACAATACTCTTGAGATTTACTTGCAATTTAAAACCATTTAAAATATTACAATTTCATACTACAACAAACGACATCCTGTATCAATTTATTTAAGTTAGTTTATTGAAGTAATCTAGTAATTGTTCTGCTCTCTCTGACGACCATCCCTGAACAGATAATGGTCCTTTAACTGCTTTTAGATAGTCTTGTAAATATTTGACACCAATTTGTTTCTCATCCAGGACTGAGGAACAATTAACTTGATGGTCTTTTTTTAGTTGAGAATACCAGTAACACAGCTCACTTGCATACATCATGGCTAGCAAATGGGTGTCACTGTATATACCTGAAGCAAAAATCGCAGATTCAATACAAGTCTACGTGTAGGAGCAAGCATTTTTATTAAATCTGAAGTACAGTAGCTCATAAAACAAGAGAAAATTGAGTACTATAAAGTTGTCTTAAAAATTAAGATGGTCATAAAAAAGGAGAGGAAAATGTTTTCTTATATTTATTGCCCACTATATGAAATAAAATTCATGCCTCTTGAAAGAATTACAAGTAATCATAAACTATCCTGGACGTGAAAGATAAACATAAACATGTCTACATGAAATAAATTGTTTTGGTGGATTAACCTTTGAATAACCATTCAGACTTTTAATCTAAGAAATAAATAACTGACCACTTTAGCCTACACACAGGTATTTTTCGTAGAGAAAACAAAATGTTTTCAAAGAAAAATATTGCAAAAGTACACTTTACGGATACAAACATGCTTAATAATGTAGATCTGACCTCATCATTTGATGAAAAAATTAAATTAAAACCAGAAGTCTCTGATAAGACTGCTGTTCTACTGGTCTATTTGTAAAATAAAAACAAGTATATAGAACTTGGATTTGAAACTTTGAAATTTAATTATGCATCTTCTACTTGAGTGCAAAGTTACATTGAAATCAATCCAAAGTGTAAAAGGGGTAGCATTTTGAAAGTATTTATAAGAAATTTCTATTCTTAGTAACCATGGCAACAATATTCCCTGAAAACAAAATCTGATAAACAATATTGTGTATCATAGTAGTCTAAATATGTGCCAAATTGTGTTGAAATCAAACCTAAACTATAGCAGGAATACCATTTTGAAGGAGTTCACAGACATTTCTATTTTTAGTAACCAATGCAACACTGTTCATCTAAATGAAAAACTATATTGTATTTAATCAGGTGTCTTAGTGTAGAATAAAAGTGTAATTTTATCCATTATATAGCATAACCTCAAGTTTTAGCAAAAACGATTGATAAATGCGTGTAAGCAGGACTAGCAGGTAGTTCTTTGTTGGTAATTTTATATCATCAAAAATGATTACCTTGTATACATTCATTGAATCTCTTGAAAATATTTTTTTTGGATAGTGATAAAATGTTATCATAAAATGGTATAGTTAAATATTGTTTCTATCTTTTTTTCATTTTCAACATAAGGAAAAACTTTCAAAGAAAACATAGCATTAGAAATGTAAGAATTGTTTAAACTTATTTCATATTGAGCATTATGATACAGATTTCAATTTATTCAGATTTAAATCTAGACTAAGGTAGATCACTCTAACTGCTGCATTTAAATACCATAGAATCAGAATTCTAGAGTGCAGTGTAAATAGGATCCTCAATGTGATATTGTATTGAAATACTATAAAATGTAATTTCTGGTGTTGAAGGAGAAAGAATTCCAGAGTTCTGTCCCTTGACAAAATTTTATTACATACCCAAACTAAGAAGTGTTTCTACATCCCTCTCTTTACCGTCTTTCTGCACTTCATGAGGTTGTCGTATTGACAGCATTTTTTGAAGATTTTCTATCCCACATTCAATTTGCTGAAATATATTAAAATCAACTGAAAAAATCATTGCCTTCTTGTAATTTTGTGCCATTCAAATGGCTCAATCTTAGCATTTTCTTTTGAACAAGATCCATCCTCAAACTATTCAGTGTTTCATACAAGTGTGTGTGTTTTTTAACCTGACATCATTTATTTTCAAAATGATTGAATTGACTTTATACAACAAGGCCCATTGTATGGTGAATCTTTGCATTAAATATCAAATTCCAAAGTTTTGTAAGAAGTATACATCATTGAACAAAAAAAGAAAAAGAAAAAAAGGAGCCAAAATTTCATTTGAAAATATAAGTAAATTAATCTATTATCAATATCTTAAATAACAGATAAAAGAAATAAATGCTAAATAGGTTGGCCATTGGCATTCCACGATTGAGTCTCACCTCTGCATAACACTGAGGATCTTCCTTTATCCTGTCCTTGTCTTCCTCCTGGATGGTGGCACAATACATGTACATCAATGCTCCCTTCCTCCACAACATGCATTCTACAATGTCTGGTCCCAGCACATCAACTACCTATCAATTCAATAAGATACATTCTACAATGTCTGGTCCCAGCACATCAACCACCTATCAATTCAATAAGATACATTCTACAATGTCTGGTCCCAGCACATCAACCACCTATCAATTCAATAAGATACATTCTACAATGTCTTGTCTCAGCACATCAACCACCTATCAATTCAATAAGATACATTCTACAATGTCTGGTCCCAGCACATCAACTACCTATCAATTCAATAAGATACATTCTACAATGTCTGGTCCCAGCACATCAACCACCTATCATATCAATAAGATACATTCTACAATGTCTGGTCCCAGCACATCAACCACCTGTCATATCAATAAGATACATTCTACAATGTCTGGTCCCAGCACATCAACCACCTATCAATTCAATAAGATACATTCTACAATATCTGGTCCCAGCACATCAACCACCCATCAATTCAATAAGATACATTATACAATATCTGGACCAAGCACATCTTCCTTCTCTTGTTATGATACCAAAACAAATTGATGATACATTTATCCAGTACTTCCACTACATAAAAAATTGCAGAGAGCTCTGTTTTTATGAATACCTCTTTATTCCCCTTCTCCGCTTTCAATTTTTTCACTGCATTTTCTATTCCATTAATATCATCTGAAATTAATTTATTTTCATAGGAGTACACTCCAATATTCATTCATATCAAACTTTTGAAAAGAAAGTTAATCATGCTAATATCGTTTACAAATTGAAGCCTTTCATGGATTGCAAAAGGAATACAGCTTCAAAAAGGAAATATATTCTTACTAAAAATGGAATGAATTCTTGGTTTACAGCTATCTCTTGGGAAGCTGCTGTCAACCAATAAACTTTCGTCAATGAATGTATAATCCAGTACTGCTTTTGCATATTCTTGGCTAGCCCCCATGATGGATGCATCCTCCTTTGCTAAACTACTTTTACATTTTTGTATTACACACTCCAAAAGGTGCTTCTTATCTGTAAATTAATGTATACACTCATCAGTTCGGGATAATGTACTCCATAATTAAAGAACTGTCCAGTGCACATTCTTTGAAATTGAATATATAATGTAATGCTTTGGGATGTGGACATTGGCCTCGGTAGCTCAGTGGGTAAAGCACTAGACTAGTCATCCAGAGGTCCATCAGGGTTTGATTCTCAGTCCAGCCATACACTTTATCCTTTCTGGTTTTATAATTTCGGGCCATGGGAAGATTCAAACTTCGGTTTTCAGTAGTGGCACTAAATTATTAAATGGAAAGGATAAATCGACTGATCGTGATGGAGCAGAGTGGGATTCTAACCTGAGCTTGTCTAAAACTTGAAATGAGTTAAATATGAGGTGCTCTACTAACTGAGCTATCTGGCCACCAGCAATCAAATCTATACCACTGCCATATTCCTCCAAGAGACATTAACCCTGGCAGGTCTTTCACCTGTTACATCCAGATAATGGCACTATCTAGCCTCAATGTAACAGGGGAAATGTGATAATCAGGGAAGAGCATGGGTTGGCATCTTTGGTGATGGAACCCCTTAAGGAAAGAGGAATGTGGCAGTCAGATTGGTTCAATCACCCTTGGCCACATAGCTCAGTTGTTGGTAGGCTAGAGCAAGTACTGAGTACTGAATGGAGATTCAGGGGACCACTGGCCTGGTCCTTCAACTTCGCATTTTCTCCTCTCCTGACATTTTCCCTACCAATCACACTGCCTTCAATAAATGCAATGAGTTAGTTTAAGTGAGGCGAAAAAAAGAAAATTCTTTTACCTTTGGGTATTTTCTTTTCAATTCCTTCTGCAGTTTCCAACAACCTGGTAAATTCGTCAGTCAACATGTTTGGGAAACCTTTTGGTAGATCGATCCCGATATAAATCTACCATTAATAATAACAAAGTATATATATATTGATGAATAATGCTTCGAATTCCGATAAAATTTTATACATATATTGATCTATGATTCATATAAGTTAGAGAGAAAAAGACTTGATTTATAAGAACTCTTCAAAATATTTATCTTAATTTTACATCGGGATCAAGATGTAACTCATTAAGTTTTCAAAAAGTGAAAATAACAAGATAATATTTCCTCCTCCCTCACATCAGGATGTAATTTAATTCCTTGTTTTGTCATGGGAACGGGCCTTTCATATACATAACAGAAGATTATCATGTTTACTTAAAACGAAATATTTATTTATTTAATGCGTCCACTTAACATTTAATCATGGAGGAGACGGTGGGCGGAGATAAAATGAAAGTACAATGTACCTCAGCTGATAACAATGTAAACAGTGATTCCGAGGTCAGTCTCATGAACTCAGGTGACAGATCAAGTCAAATGGATAACGATATTAATCCCAGCCTGAAAGACAAAGCAGAATCAGGAAACAATGGCAATGATGAAGTGAACAAAAGAATTAACTCTTCACTTCCTGATTCCAAAAACGGCAAACTCTGCGGATGGCTTCATATAACGACCAACAAAGGTCCGCTGAAATCTACTCGACTACGGTGGTTTGCTTATAGTGACACCAACAGCAGACTTTATTATTATAGGAATCCTCATGATTTTCTTCCACTTGGAGAGATTGACATTTCTCATGCCACATTTTACTTTGATGCTAGTAAGACGGATAAACCTGGAGGATTTGAAATCAGGTTAGAATTAAAACAAATTAGCTAGTTCACTGGATTATGAGTATTCAATGGTCATTGAATGACAAAAGAGACAAGATTTTATTTAGTAAGCCAATATTATGTAACAGGAAAATATGCCATATACTTTTAAACACACACTAGACAAAATTAGCTAATTCATCACTCAATATTCTCATGTGTGAACAGAACATTTTCCTTATTAGTTATCCATGTTATCAGCATGAGTAATCTTATACACTTAACAAAACTTCTAAGTGTTCACTCTAAAAAATGTATTTATTTAAAAACTACACGATAAAAGGGTATGGTATTTTCAATTTTTTATAACCAATGAGTCTTCTCAACAATTGTTAAAAGAAAATCAATTATTAATGATGAAAACCAATGTCCCGTAACAAAACTTAAAAACGATAAACTTGTACTTTGCGGCACGTGTTTTGTTCAATCAGCTTCTTTTTGTGACCATTATTAATTTTTAACAACTGGTATACCTAAAAAAAAACACAAATCATGGGCAAAATGGCCAGTGAGGGAGGAGGGAGAGCCATTGGAATGTTGATATTTTCATCATCCTTACGACACGTTTTATTCACTTTTATTTTTGCTTTTATTTGTCCTTGATATTACTTTTGGAAAAAAGAACAAATATGAAAAAAATAATTTATACACATTTTTCTATAAGTTTTGCATCATTTTTTATTGTCAAATTATCAGAATTTGAAAGCTTTGAACAAAATTAAACAAACCGGAAGTGATCTAGATCTTCGTCTCAGGCCAATGTTTCACATCGAAACCAGCTTAAAAGATTGTTATACATGGTCCTAGACCACTTTTGAAACATCTCAATCAGCACCTTCAGTGGTGTGAAAATGGCGCAGATTGGTGCTCAGAGCAGCTCCAGTATCATCCCAAACAGTCTGAATCATCCAAAGAGAGGTACTCTTGTGTGTGAGACGCCCAAGGAGGGTCTAAATGCTGACCAAAAAGCATCTGATTAATCCACTGGCCTGCCAAATCCCCAAATCTGAATCACATTGAACATATGGGACTTTTAAACGGAATGTCAAAGCCTCCCCTTTCCTCGCAATGTTAACGGTTTAGAAAGATCCATGCAGTAGGTGTCGCAGCAGATAAGTCAACCTCCTATTCAAAGGGTACATGGTATCCATGAGAGAATGATGTCTTGCAGTAAGTAGAGTGAGTGGAGGTCTTATTCTATATCGATTTTTTATGTGAATTTTCAGTTGAAAGGTACATCATGTCCTTGACACTTTGTTTTAAAGTCTGATGAGAAACCTACACAAAATTTTCACAACATCAAACTGAAATATGCATCATTAATCCTAAATTAAAGACATAATTTATTGTATGCATTTGTTCTTCATTAAACTTTAAAAATGTTAACACTTAGAAGATTGGTTCAATGTAGAGCCATCTTGCCTGATGCAAGTCAGATTTGTCTATGTCATGCTATCAACAGAAGACCCTCCAATGATGTTCTTGCCTACAAACCAATTTTCTAAATTGTGTTTTGCACTGATATGCAGTAGGTTATTACCAATAGTGGTCAGTGAAGTTGCAGCAGTGGTAGTTTCTAAAATTATTTAGAAGGATATGTTTATCATATCACCTTATAATCGTTAGTACATATTTAATTGGCATCTTCCATATCTAGGCCACCACTCTTCCAGCCTAACAGAGAGACAGTGTAATCTTGCAACAATCATACACTACATGTATATTTAGAAGACTTTTTAATATATGTTTAATCATTTAAATGCAGAATTTTCAAATAGAAGAAACAAAAATATTTTAATTTGTTTTTATTTCATGTCAAGAACATACCTTTTAACATGTTTAAAAGGAAAACTCTGAATGTCCTACTTTTCTCATTTTTGTCTAATACCTCTTAAGATGTCAGATTTTTCTGAATCTTTTATGAATGCAAATATAAAGAGAACAATTCATTAAGCATGTTAAGTAGAAAATGTGAAATTATTCTTCCAAAAAGTGTGAGCAAAATTTTCATGCATTTCTATTCATGTGGATGTATCCGATCTATTTCAACTACAGAGTAACATATTTATGTGTCATGTTTTTGTTTTTAAGAAAAAGGAAGGTGGTACATGTAATATGGTTAGGTTCGTAAGATTTTTAAAAGAAATTGAAAGTATTCTGGCTGTAGGTTTTCAGATATATCAGCTGGCTGTTTTCATGTATGGAACCTGGAGTTTGTTATATAAATATTTTTTTTTTATCATTTCATTTCTAAAACAAAAGGTCAAGGGATAAAAGTAATTAGGTTACATGCAGTAAGGAAGCTTGGATGCTTTTTTTAGCTCACCTGAGCTGAGAGCTCAAGTGAGCTTTTCTGATCACCCATTGTCCGTAGAATGAACTTTTCACATTTTCAACTTCTTGTCAAGAACCACTGGGCCAATTTTAACCAAACTTGGTACAAAGCATTCTTTGGTGAAGGGGAATTTAAATTGTTAAAATAAAGGGCCAGGTCCCCTTCCAAGGGGAGATAATCAAGGAAATACAAAAATAAGGTGGGGTCATTAAAAAATCTTCTTCTCAAGAACCACTGGGCCAGAAAAACTGAAACTTATCTGGAATTATCCTGAGTTAGTGTAGATTCTAAAATGTAAAAATCATGACCCCCGGGGGTAGGGTGGGGCCACAATAGGGAATGCAAGTTTTACATAGAAATATATAGGAAAAATCTTTAAAAATCTTCTTCTCAAGAACCAATGGGCCAGAAAAGCTGAAACTTATGTGGAAGCATCCTGGGGTAGTGTAGATTCTAAATTGTAAAAATCATGACCCCACAGGGTAGGGAGGGGCAACAATAGGGAATGCAAGGTTTACATAGAAATATATAGGAAAAATCTTATTCTCAAGAACCAGTGGACCAGGAAAGCTGAAACTTAGGTGGAAGCATCCTGGGGTAGTGTAGATTCTAAATTGTAAAAATCATGACCCCCGGGGGTAGGGAGGGGCCACATTAGGGAGTCATAGTTTTATATAGAAATATATTGGAAAATTCTTCTTCTCAAGCACCATTGGGCCAGGAAAGCTGAAACTTAGGTGGTAGCATCCTGGGGTAGTGTAGATTCTAAATTATGAAAATAAAGATGGGGGTTGGGAGGGGGTAGGGGGCCACAATAGATGTAAGTAGAGGGGAAATCTGGTAAAGAACTGAACTCACCAAAGTTACTCAGGTGAGCGATGTGGCCCATGGGCCTCTTGTTTATTCTTATAGGAATTTGATATGTTGAGAGTGAAGTTTCACAATTTTTGTACTGTTATTCCAACAGGAAATTGGATTTAATTTTTATTTTAGGTCAGAAAACAAGGATTACTTTTTGGAGGCGCCAGATCGACATGTGATGATGTTTTGGCTACAGGAACTACAAAACAGAAGACGGAGTCACACAACTCAGAGGAACTCTCTTCCCAGATCTAAGGTAAAACATCAAAACAACAATCACATGCCTTGTAGTTTTGGGTACCAGTATACATGTTTAAATGTATTCAACATTTTAATACAAGTACCGGTACACCACTTCAGCGTTAACATCAAGTATGTACATATTATGTGCAATAAATATGAAAAGCTTTATGAAAAACATGTTGTAGACTCATAGACCGGATTCTTTGGGAGGATTATCAAGAGCTAAATCAACATCAGAAAAGCAGGAGCAGTGTGAAACTCAGAGAGTCGAAATTCCAGTAATTCCTTCTTCAGAAAAACTTGGGCTCAGGCGAGCTTCTCTGGATGAGTGGACCTCATCAGCAGGAAAGCCTTCTATGTGGAGGGCATCAAATCTCAAGTCAGACATCCAGGATGTCATGATCAACATCAGAAAACAGTCAGCTCAAGGTTAGTTCTATTTAATGTAGCTGTCAATAAATTCAATTAGAAGCAGAGAAATTAGCTAATTCAATTTAGTGCTCCAAGTTTTTTTTTCTGTTTATAGGTTGTATGTGTGAATGCATGTACACAAAGGGATTAATTTTACATTAATTGTCATATGTACAAACTTGAATTAGAGACATTTTTGAGTAATCTAAAAGATAAATATGACATTGCTACCCGGTATGTTATTTTTAAATAGGCAGGAAGTCTGATACTCCTAACACTTCATCACCATCCCCAGCTGCAGAAGATTGGACAATTTTGGATCAACCCCCCACTCAGAGGTCATCAGGTGACCTTTCACCTCCAATGAGGAACCAAGGGAAAATCATTTCAGCATTTAATAAACTGAAGGTTGTCAGACGGTCTAAAACTGTGGATGATCAAGCTAACCAACAAGGAGTGTGTTTTAGGTGTAAACAGGTAAAAAAAAATTAATTAATTGAAACCTAGGTTTCACAATTTTTAGTCCTCCCAGATGTAGAAGAAGGAAAAATGCTTACTTTTATAATCCTTTGATCAAAACAGTCTAAGTGATTGCTTATATCTTTGGGTCATCTGTGTAAGCCTAGGAAAAATTAAATAGATTTCATCTGAAAATTCTAAATACATGTAGTTTCAGCAATCCCAGACATGTAGCAACTTAGAAAGTTCAGTAAATTAGAAAGTTTTAGAGATTGTGAAATATTGTGTTGTAGAACACATATAAGTATTTATAGATGTTTATTATGGACTTTCAGCTTCAGAATAATATAACTGCTCTGCACGAGGAACAACAAGGAACAGAGGATGAGCTTCAGGCCAACAGAGAAATCGTCCGCCTGCTCCAGAAGGAAGTGGACAGCCTCAGGAAGGAAATACAGACAAGGTAAATGCCATCAGGAAATATATCAATAATGGCTTCTGATAGTGATAATGCTAAAATAAATAATGCTTTAAGTTACAAGGCACCCAGGTACATTTTTGTGTTTTATTACTTTGTTTCTTGTCTTAGATTTGAGGGGTTGAACCAAACTGATGAAGGGCTTCATCAAATGCTGAAGGAGAGAGATAAACATATTGTAGAACTGGAGTATTGCTTGACCACTATCAATGAAGAAAAAGCCATTGCTAGTCAGAAAGAGAGGTGTGTTATTGTGCCTAAAAAAGGCTTTTGTTGAATTCTAGAAATTGTTTTATCAATACAAAGTCACAGTTTTCCTGTTGTTAAGATCATAAATCTCACTAACATTGTACATGAAAAATTGTAATTATGTATATGAATTTATACTTATAATTTTAAGTAATTTGAAAATACCTTGAAATTCTATCAAAATGAAGAAAAGATTAGCTCATATTTCTTTTTAAAAAGTTTTTATTGGTACAAGCATATCGTTTCATAAAAAATTCAAACCAACTTATACATATACATAAATGCCTTATGATATTTAATGACATAGGATAACAGAAGAGGAGATGAAATCTTTGAAGGACCAGGTGACCATGCTTCAGCACATGTTGCAGGCCAAGGACGAGGTCATTGTTAAACTGACCAATGATATGTTTGAGCTGGAGAAGAACAACAACGACCCCCACTCGACCCCCGCCCCATCCAGCCCCACCATCAGAAAGACGGTGGTGTTTGATACAGATACCAGAGAGCTGGACAAACTCAGAGTAAATACATGTACTGTAATAAAATCAAATCAGAATTCAATACAACTTTAAGAAAATCTAACTAAGAGACTTCAGAATTCTTCACTGCTCTGTACATTTATCTGTTTAATAAAATTGATTGCAAGGTGCACTGTACTGGTAATTCTTATGAATTAGTTCATGTACTCTTGTCCCATCTATTTTCAGGATATGTGCCAAGCTTATGAGTTACAGAACAAATTCTTAACCAAAGAAATTCTGGAGTTAAATGAACTCAGACAGAGTGATGATGAAAGGCATAAACACCTCTTGATGTAAGAAAATATTGTATTGTTTTAATGGAATTTCTAGCTGGATTACTGTTCATTATTATCATATTTCTTGTGAAATTTTCCTTTTTTTCTATGATAAAAAATTGTCAATAATTGCACAGGGAAAATGCAAAACTTGAAGGCAAATTCTTACAGACCAAAAGTAAATACCTCTATCTGCTTCAAGAAATGAAACAACCTGTCATGGGTAGGTATAAATTCAAAGCATTCTTAAGAATAACTGATATATTCAATATTTTATGAATTTTAGTACTTGCAAAACAGGTTTTAAGTTTTTAAGCAGTTATTGTGGCAGTATCTAATGTACCAAGGGTATCAGTAGACTTAAAAACAAGTTATAGTGTAATTCATTTCTGTAAAATCACTTATTTTCAGAAATGGAAAATTAATTCATTTGATATTTTAACATTTTTTGGAAAACACAGAAATTGTGACCTCCATATGCCTGATCTTGAAGACTTGTCCAGCGTTAAATGGTACTCATCAGTCCTGTTTTCTTATTTTGCAGATGGAGAAAGGAACTCGCAGGCAGTTATTTCTCAGTTGTTGACAGATGCCATTCAGACAGATGACGACTTAGATGATAAGATGAATGACAAAGAGTGTTTCCTTACTTCCAGGTTTGTCTATATTAACTTTTCTTGTGAAAGAATTTTTGATATGAAAAAAAAATTATAACTTAATATGTACAATTTTTCCCAGTCATTTGAAAGAATTTTGTAGAAACATATTATATTGTTCAAGACAAAGTTTGGTTTTACTGTATATTCGCAGCAGGTGTTCTATACTGTTATTTATATTTATGTAAAAAAAGAAACAAGAATTTTAAATGGACACAGCTGGTTTTATGATCAAATGACTCTTTCACAAAGTCCATCCAAAATGTATGTGCATTAAATATATGTACATGTACTTATGTTTTAGAAACCTGTAATAAGGAACTAAAATACTCATCCTTATTCCTCAAAAATGAAGTGGAAACTTCTTAAGCTGCAATTTTGAAACTTATTGATGACTAACCTTTTGTTGTAGTGGACAGGAGTATGACAAGTATGGCTTTATAAGGAGATTTGACTTTGAGAGTGGTGAGTTCGACCCTGTGACCTTGGAAGCTCAGAAACTGGAGAGAAAATCGACAGAAGTCAGTGATAAAATCAAGGTGAGCTAGAGCCACCAACAGGTACCATCCAGTATTTTGTGTATATGTGTTTTCATGCACTGAATGTTGTGTTGATTGAAGAGTTTGGTTTTGCTAGAGACAGGATGAGGAACTCTCGCACCAGGTGAAGTGGGAGAACTTTATGATGGCCCAGGCTGGCAAGCCCCTTGTACGCTCGCAAGAACTCAAACTCATGGTTCGCTCAGGGGTTCCACATGAGTACAAGGAGGCCATTTGGAAAGGGTTAGTGATAAAAGAGAAAAATTGTACCACTACATGTTCATGAGCAAATAATGAAAAATATTCATTTTTTTTTATTTTGTAAAAGACATTGAACAACAATTGGAGACTTAAATTTTGAATTAATTAAAGTATTCAGTGTAGATGATGTAGCTTTTGAATGGCATCAACTTATTTTAGAATTTTTAGGCAGCCACAATCAGGAAAGAATCCTTCATATTAAAGTAACTGTTATTCCCCTACCCACATTTTGTATCAATTAATTGTTTGCCTGTTCATTGTTGCAGATGTGCAAACTTTTATGTTGGATCAGTCAGGGACAAACTAGGACCTCATTATTATAAACAAAATGTGGCCAAATTTCAGTCTCGATTCCATGATCCATCAGCAAAACAAGGTAATGACCTTGTGAATTGAAAAAGAGCATGGGTATACAAGCTAAAAATAGCTTTTTCACGGATATAACAAAGTTTTTTGGGGTCCCCGGCAAAATTCTTAACAATTCGTTGTAAAATTTTACAGTTATAAGGAATTACAGATATAGCGAATTTACGGATATGGCGAATGATTTTGAGTCCCGTAGAGGTTAAAAATAATGAAATTTACATCTTTTATAACAAATTATCAAATGACACCAAGGTCAATGACCTTGTGAACTTTTATGTGACCTTTTTTTGCGAAATTTATACATAGTATGTTTCTACTAACAACAGATCCAAAAAGGCTTGATCGCGAAAATAAATTGGCGCGAAATAGTTTATCCCTGGTAAATCACGAAATAAAGTCGTCGCGAATAAAAGTTGGTTTACAGTATATTGAACTGACTTTATATTTAGTAAGGATTTACCAATGAAATTTAATTTATAATAAAAACCTTAGTTAGCCAAGGTGTGTTTTCTAATAATTGATTCCCTGCGATATTCAGTAGAAATACTAGGAAAATGTGATTATTGTGAATTCGCTGCACATATACGAATTTGTTATACGGATATGACGAATAACGGATATAGCGAATTAAATTCATAGTCCCCAGGACTTCGCTATAACTGAGTTTTACTGTAAATTATTTATTGTATACTTGGCAGGAAGTACACCACTTCCTTTGTGTGTACATGTACACTGTATTACCATGTCATTTTTTTACCTCATCATACTAGTATTGCATATCAGACACACATGCACAAATACATATCAAACTGGATGCAACATTTTTAAATAGTTAATAAGTGAATTGATTTGATTTATTGAAATGTACATGTGTAAAACAATTTATGTACTAAAACTTGTTGGCTTTATAGTTCCAAATTGACCAATAATAAGCTCCATTAGTTTTTAAAATAAAAAGTCATGTACTTGTAGAAAACACTTAAATGACTTTATTTTAACATGCTAGACATTGAACAACAATTGAATACACAGCATTTTGAAAAAAAAAATTAACAAGAAATAATAATAAAAAAGAAAGAAAAACATGTCAGAAGTCCAATACAAGACTCAATTAAAATAGGTTATATTAAAAAAAAAACATCGATTTGTTTACCTCTACGTATTAGATATATTAAAATACCGGTAATATATTAAGCTTCTATACATATCGATTTAAAAAATCATTTTAGAATTTCAAGGGCGAATTGTTAAGTTGTGTCAATTCAAAGTAAATGCAAATAAACCAAATAATTCAATCCGTTTTATTTTCTTATTCCCCTTATAATTAACTGCAAACTTGTACTAATATTTCAAACTAATTAAATTTTTAACATGTAACAAATGGAGAATATTTTTGGTGTGTGGATAAAGCGGTATATAGAATTCAGATAAATTCATATAATTCATAGTAAATATGATATCTTAATTTGTAAAATAAATTTTATAGGAACTACTATGCAGAACATTGAATTTTCTGCCTATAAAGGTTTTCCTGCCTTTCATAATGAATTTTCTTTCGTCAGAAAAGTTCAAAACAGTTTTGCGATAATGTAATTATAAAGTTGCTACAAGAAGAAAAAAAAATTTGAAAATAACTGAACACTTATTATGGTACAAAATGTGAGAACAGTGTGTCTTGAATGTTCAGTATGAAAATTTTTAAATTGATCAAATAAAGCAGGGATGTTCTTTCACGTGGTACATTGCATTCTGATTGTTACTTTCACACTGCATGCATTAGGGAAAAATTGTGAAAATATCAATTATATCATCCTCACAAATTCAAGTTTGTGATTTCAGAAAACACATATTGCAGGATTTCCACTGTTGAAAATGTTTTGTCCTATTTCAGGATAACACGAAATGCTTTTAAGAAAAAGAATTTTGGAGTTGTAAGTGTAGAAAACACTTTTTTGTGAATATTTGATTTTATGATTGAAAAATTAAACTTTTTAAGGTAATTTTCTGATGTATAAAACCCTAAAAATCCATTACGGGGGCTTCACCCCCTGGGCCCCCACCAGGGCCCTGCCCTCATCATCCCCCAACCCCTTGCCTTTTTGAATACAGTAGATATTTTGCTAGCTACGCCACTGGTAGAATGTTACAAACTAAAAATCCATATCATGTCATATCAACTTTAAGGTCTCATATCATCTCAGGTGCATTAAGGTTCATGGGCTGATATTCCTTATCACAGTTATAGTGTCTTCCTTGTTTTCAGCTCATCAAGATAGGATGAATAGCTTTGATGTCTAAGCTTCCTCCTATTTATATAGACTGTGTTGGTTACTTCCGCATTTCTTCCTGTTTTATCACTTTATGTTTTTCCTTCCTCCTTCTCTTTACACATATATACATACATTTTATTATTATTATTTCTTTTGATTGGGTTTTGGCCAAGTACTAATTTGAGTAACATAAGTACATGTATTTAATAAGTAATATTGACCAAGAGCCCATTAGAACTGCACCAGACATCACTCAAGTAATACTTGTCATTTCTATCAAGGGATATGATATTCAGGAATTTAAAAAAAACTCTAATGATTTGTTTTTATTTTGGGTTGTATAGATTGGTACATTAGAACCCAAAGTCCTTGATAAACATCATAATTCATTGATAAACATTGCATCTTGGGTTTTGTACATTTTATTTGACTTGATTTATATGTATACTGTACTAATAATTCATTTTATCATTTTGTGAGCATGCCACCCATGCACTAGACAGTTTTTTTTCACAAAAAAACACAATGTACTTAATTAAGAGAAAACAAATCTTGATTAAATCTTTACCTTGATTTTTTTTTTAGATAGAGCTAGATTTGTTGAGAACTTTGCCCAATAATAGGTTTTATGAGAATATAGAATCCCCTGGGATAAGCAAGCTGAGGAATGTTCTCTTGGCCTACAGTTGGCATAACACCTCAATAGGATACTGTCAGGTATGTATATATATTGAATTTCATATAAGACTGCATTTTCATTATCTCCTATAAAATGTTCATCCAATGCATTCTTGGTCAATGCGGAATACTAAGCCATGCTTTGCAAGAATGTTGAAAGCTGCTCTACTTTCTTGCAATAGAAGTAATAACACCTTTTTTCTTCAGTCAAATGTGATATTTATCTCTGATTTCAGGATATTGTAGGATATTGTTTTCATTTTGGGTGAGGAAACCAGTTAATTTGTAGTACATATATGTGTGAATCATTTTAGTTGAACATTTAGTCTGACTCATTTCTATGAAAAAAAATTGGCATGATGACTTCAATTGCTACTCCTCTTCTACACTTTTAGTTCTGCCTGCAATGAAGGTTGTCATATACATAGGAAACCTTTCTCTGTGCAAGTTAGAGTCAACTCATGTACCATGTACCAGTACACAATTTTTTTCCCAATATGCATGTCACCAAGAAACATTTTTGGAGTGTTGTGTTTATATGTCTATTGACTTGTACTACTGTGACATGATTAACTTTTTAATGGAGAAGCATTCTTGTGCTTATATTCATTTAGATTGATTAGATTCAGAACTATAAATACTTATGGACAAAATCAAAGCCTCAGGATTCAGAAGTGTAAAATTTCCAAAAGGAACTGTATTAAGGAATTGTTAGATACTTATACCCACTTCAAAGAATGTATGTTGCCATAGTATCACCAGTTAGATATGATAGTGGGAACTAGAATTGTTAGCTCTTCACAATCCATGATTTTGTATTGTAGACCAATTAATGAAAGCTCATACTGATTCACAGTTTTCTTGTGTCAAAAACTTTTATGTTCTTGACACTTAAACATGGTTATTTTTCACATTTATCCTTGAAGTTTTCTCCCCCAAATCATAGTTTAAATCCTGGTACATAAATATTGCAGAGGCTTAAAATTGACATAAGGTTGCCACAATCACCTGAGTTGTTGTCATAATTATATTAAACTAACAACATTCTTAGGAACAGTCTAGGCTGCATGAAATAAATGTAAAATTTGAACAGATCTTGTGAATATTACTATACAATTGCTACAGTGTAGCTAATCATGCATACAATTCTACAAGCACAGTAGTACATGTACTAGTATTTAGAGCTGCTGCACAAAAACATGAGGAATGCTTGTTGGTGTAAATTAGCAAAAGTGTAGACAGCTATACTTTTGCAGTAGTGCATAATCATGTCTAATACATCCGTAACATGTAGCAACTAGCAACTTAATTTGTCATGAGTGTATTTTGGTGTGACCTGCAACAGTGTATATATAGAGGTTTACATTTATGGTATAGTAGGCATCTGTAAAAGTATTAAGGTAAGTGTACCTTTGCAGTGGTGTATCTTGGTGTGGCTAACAATAGAGTAGACAAATGTACACTTGCAGTGGTATATCTTGGTATGGCTAACAATAGAGTAGACAAATGTACACTTGCAGTGGTATATCTTGGTGTGGCTAACAAAAGAGTAGACAAATGTACCCTTGCAGTGGTGTATCTTGGTGTGGCTAACAATAGAGTAGACAAATGTGCAATTGCAGTGGTGTGCTAACAAAAGAATAGACAAGTGTACACTTGGAGTGGTGTATTTTGGTGTGGCAAACAATAGAGTAGACAAGTGTACAATTAATGTTGTTAACTATAGTTTACAGTCTGTTATGGCACGCCAAATTCACAAAAAATGAGTTAAACAAATGTACACTTGATAAGTGGTTTATCTTGGTGTGGCTAGTTACAAATTGTAAACAAATTAACACTTGCAGTGGTAACTATCTTTTGTGGCTAACAACTATATTTAACGGTATTATCTATAGTTGGCTACAATGCTAATCTAAGTGGTTATCTTGGTGTGGCTAATAAAACGTTAACAATAGATTTTGTTGATAAACATAGATTCACTTTCAGTGGTAAATCTTGGTGTGGCTAACGATCGTTAACTATATATCTTGTGTGTAAAATAGTTTACAAATCGTGAATCTGTGTGGTTATCAAAAGAGTAGATAATCCATGTTTTGCAATCGCAAATGATACTTTTCGGTGTTAAGTATAGTTTACGGTCGTGAAACACAGATTATCGCGTTAACTATGGTTTACAGATGTAAAATATAGATTAATGTTGTTAATGGTATATTTTGGTGTGGCAAACAATAGAGTAGACAAGTGTAAACCTATTTATCATTGTGAAACTATGATTAGCTCATTTTTATGAATTTGGCGTGCCATAGTCTGTAAACTCATCGATAAACCTTAGTTTATCGACTGTGAAACTATGTTTATAGCTCATTTTTGTGAATTTGGCATGCCATACATGTATGTTCCAATGCTGCTATACTCTTCTTTGTTAAGATTGTGACGTTTTATTTACAGGGTATGAACAGACTGGCAGCCATTATCTTGCTGTTTCTAAGTGAAGAGGAGGCATTCTGGTGTTTGGTGGCAATCATTGATTTCATCATGCCACAGGATTACTACAGCAAGACTATGTTGGCAGCTCAGGCAGATCAGGTTAAATTCTCACAGCTGTGCTAAGTTACATTAATATAAAAATTGTTCATTTGATTTAGATGCATGAGAGGCACATTTTGTTGTAGATTTATATAAGCTGTGTACATTGATGGTAAATGTGCTGCTACAAAATATACCAAATTGAGTTAGATTATTACATCACACTATGCAGACAATGTTTTGAGGAAACAAATGGGAGGTTCAAGTATCGGCCATTTCAGAAAAAAACCTGTGTGGCATAACCTAAATGTGCTTCAGTAATCTTCTTAAATTCCATCTAACTTTGCTGACTTTTGCAGTAAAACTTTAGGAGTTTGTATACTGTAAACCAACTTTAATTCGCGTGCGAGAAATATTCGCGAGTTTCGCGACCCACTTAAACTCGCGAATATTAATCACCGCAAACCAATAATTTTGCTTAGTAGTTGTAAGGAATGTTTCCTCAGTCGCGAAAATTAATCGTCGCGTATTGATTTCAAATGAACGAATCGCGAATAAAAGATGATGTGAATAATAGTTGGTTTACAGTAATTAAATATTCATGCATTTATGCTATTAACATTATTTTTATATTGATGGTTTATTTCTTATACAGCGAGTGTTGAAGGACCTGATTCAGGAGAAGCTCCCCCGGGTGGCCTCTCACCTGGAGCAGCATTCAGTTGACCTTTCACTCTTCACCTTTAACTGGTTCCTGACTGTGTTCATTGACAACATTCCTATTACCACATTCCTTAGAATCTGGGATGCATTCCTGTATGAAGGGAGTAAAGTAAGATGGAATAGTACAAGTATTATGATCTCTTCTGCTTTTCTATACAAGTTTTTCTTATTTTTTTTCTAAACAATATTTTAAAGATTTCAGTAAAATCACCAAACTAGGTGTAACTGACCAAAATACTAATAAATCTGAGTATTCCAGATAACAATAGGTAGACTACAGTGATAACAAACTTTGAATATTCTTGGTATTTGACTTGTCAATATATCAGTACATGAATTTCCTTGAAACACTGAAAAATGTAAAAATTGTTACATCTATCACATCCAAGTTTCAGTCATACAAACAATTGAACACAAACTATATTTATTGTAGGTGCTGTTCCGATTTGCTGTGGCATTTTTCAAGTATGTGGAAGAAGATATTCTGAAGAAGACAAGTACCCTGGAGCTGAATCACTTCATGAGGATAATGGGAGAAAAAATCACAGATGTCCAGAAAGTAGCACAGGTGATTTATTAACATAGCAAGGCACAGCCTTACTGCTATAACCTTGATTGAAACAGGTTACGATTTTTTATGAATTGCTTTGCAGTTTATAAAGCATAAACTGCTCATATAATATTATTTTACTCTCTCTTAAAATGGTCTTCAGAATATCATAGGAGACAATATTATCAACCTCAGAGCAGAAAAAAAGTATTAAAAAGGGCATCGCAAAGCAGAGCTTCCCCTCTCAAGAGCATTTTCTATAAACTAAGCTTAAGACATTGAACCAGATGCAAATTATGTACCTTCCACTTTGCACAGGAGATAGCCCACAAACAAACACACACACATTATTGCATTACTATATCCCTTCTAACTCTGTTGTAAGGGGATAATAAAGATTTGAAGAAGAGAATTACCAGAATAAGCATGCACTTTAAGCTACCAGCTAGGAAACTAGACACATGAATTGAAAGAAAATAAAACTTTAAAACTGCTGTTCTGCTGGTTTCAGATTGCATTCCATACAGTGAACCCTTTTCCAATGAGAGGCATTTCCAGTAAAAGACAGTTCTATCTGACACAAGTTAGGGTAAGTCATAGTGGAGTATGGATGTTTTACATGTGTATGTAAATATCAAAATGACAAGGGCACATTGTGAGTTGAATTAAGCTATTTTTTCTGATTGAATTAAAATGACATCTTTGCTAGCTTAGCCAATGGTTTTGACATGATAGTAGATTTGTGATTTGAGACCCTTGGTTAGCAAATACAGTAAAATGTATGAACAGATATAATTATATCACAGAATGAATATCACATGGAATGCATTGAGCAGTAATCTTTTTTACAGTTATCACTCAATTGCATGTGATAATAGTTTGGATTTTCCAAGCTTAATCACAGCAACTTTTTTTTATTCCATCCAAACTCCTATTTATGAGGATTGAAAAATTAATGCACTAGCACTTGTAGTCATAATCAGGATTTTAAAAATTGCTTCTCTTGCAGGGAGAACTTGCAGAGCTGGACAGAATCAGACAGGATTTAATGTCTTCTAAGCATTCAACCACTGATGTCAGGGACTATAATGCCAGTGAAGATGATCTGGACGATTAGGAAAATTAAATATACAATATATATATTATATATATATATATATATATATATATATATATATATATATATATATATATATATATATATATATATAAATATATATATATATATGAACCATATATCAACAATATATCAGAAAAAGTGATTAATATATCAACAATATAGCATAAGATTTCTTTTACTTCTTTTGCATATCTCAATGAAGACTTTCATTAATGATATTACAGTGTATATAGTTTGAGAAAGCTTCAGACTGATGTCCAGAATTTAAATGTTACATGTATATATGTACAAATGAATTACTGTATAGACTGTGCAACACAAATGGCTAACTTGATTGAGAATAATGGTTGTTGGTTGTAAGACAAAGGGGTAATTTTTAATATAATCAATCTAGTCAAAAGAATTTTATTTATATTTTTCTTTATTAATTTTACAAAAAAGGTTACAAAATTTAAGCATACTTGTTCATATAAAAATTGTGTTCATGAATTTATTTTACTGATACTTGCCTTTGTACAAATAATACACTAATAAAGACATGTTCTTGTGGATGCATGATAATAAAGATGTTGTAATGGCTGGATCATATGCATGATTTGGTAATAATATGAATATTGTTGTGGATAATAAGTGTGTGCAATATTTTTTGTTTATTTCTTTTTGTTTGTTTGTTTATAAAAGCCATTCCACTTCTCATTAGTTGATTATTATTTAATATACTTATGAAATATTTTAGCTAGTGCTTTATATCAAAACTTATTTGAAGAGTGCATCAGTAGATAATCTACTTAATTATTTTTATAGAAGTGTTTACATTTGATATTAAATGTGATAATTAATTGATGAGACAATCATGAAAGCCATACTGTCCGAAATGTTTCTATCTGCTGTATTAGTCAATGTACATTTCTTGTCTTATATTTCTTATCATTTAAAATTGACTGATATATTTCACAGAATTTAAGTAATTGTCAACTTGATTTCCTTGTTTTTTTTTTTTTGAAAATAGATATACTTGCATTTGTAAATGTTTATCATTTGTTTTAACTCTTGGAAAAAAAGAGCTTTTTAAAAAAGTATACAATTACAGTATACAATATTGAAATGATGTTTAAAATATACCTTTTAACTTACAATATGAATAAGAACAAATATCTCAAATATATTTTTACTGTATATCTATATATAGCTGTAAATCATGATTGCAAATTGATTTGAATAAGTGTGATGGAATTTCTATAAGAAGTGCCATAAAATTGATGCAGCAATTGTTAAGATTTAAAGTTGTTTCTATAACATATTTAAATTTTTCATGACTTCCTATGTCAAGTAACACAAAGTTTGATACATGAAATTTGATTCATGAATTGAAGCAAGAGAGTGCAATATAACATTATGTTTTCTGTCTGAGAAATTAATATCAATTGAAAATAATAAATTGAATTCATTTTCTTAGAAGCAGATTAATTATGTGAATATGTTATATTTGAAGTATATTTTGTACATTTAATTATGCCATTTTCTGAATTGTAAGATAGTGTGTTATTTTTAATGAAATATTCTCAAGGTGCTATACAAATACTTATAAATATTTTACTTCTACAAATATAATGCAAGCTTTAAAACTTACATGTATGTGCTTTTACATTTTGAACTGCAGTTATCAGAACTACAACATACTGATACTTAATTTTATGTGTTATTTTACAGTCACCTACAAATGTATTGATATTATTTACAATTTTTTTTAGATAAAACTTCTGGTGATGATAAGTTACAAACTAGTTAATGAGAAATATTTTGAGAATGATCAGTTCTAATTTACCTGTTCAGTAGCATCATAAACTGGTAGCAATCGACACTGTCACTAAATTTTTACAACATTCATTACTTTAATGGGGTAATAATTTGGTGTATACTGTATGATCCCTATTAACCGCCCCGGGCACTTAGAAAATTGTGAAAAGGGGGCAGTTATTTTGGTATTCTCTTTATAATATTTATATAATGTCATATTTTAGCTTCAAAAAATCTTTAAAAAAAAAATAATTTCAAAGAACCACTAAAACAATGTCTTACTTTACTTTAAGTTAAGATATTCCACGCAAATTATTCTAAATAATTCATTTTTTACAGGGAAATTGAATATTAGACAAATTTCATTTTCACTTTCTTCAAATTTTGGCAGACTTTTGGGACAAATCTAGATAATTTTAATCACTGTACAGGGGGTCCTTATTTCCTGACAATTGAAAAAAGACCTAGGGGGCGCTTATAGGGGCAGGGGCAGTTAATAGGGATTATACGATATATAATATCTATAAACCAAAAAAATTAGATCTTGTAAATATTTTTTAAGCTAACAAATATATATGAGAATGAAATGTTAGTAAATTTTTAACAAGCAGGTTGCAGAAATAATTATGTGAAAATTGTATTTTATAAATAAAAAGGAGCATAGTTTACGAAATAATTTTGTTGATAATTAAAAGAGAAACAGATCGGTACTAATAAATGCGAGATCAGTTCTAGGTAATGTATATTGATAGTGTATTAAAGTTAAGAGATGTAAATGTGTCACCAAATTAGCTTGCTTTTCTATAAAGTCCTATGATATGAAATGCATAAAAAATGTATGTTTGTCCTCATTAAATCCACATGTGAGATGAACAATGGTAAATAAATGTTCAAAGTTAATTGAATATATCTGAATTGTTTTTATTGAATGTCAGATGCATATAACTGCATATGTAGTCATGTTAAACATAATTCAAATTTGTATGCAGTTTAATTGTTTGATGAAAGTATTTTGAACAGCAGCTGAAAAGTGAAAAGAAAATAGTGAGGTCAAGGTCACTTGAAAGTTCAAATTAAGAAAATTTAGACACAGTTGAATTTTTTTTAATCAATATATATCTTTGTATGAAGTTTGATGAAAAGTTCTTCAAAAGTGAGGCCCAGAGTGAAGGTCAAAGTCTGAAAAATATGATAGCTTAAAGTCTGTAACTTTGTATAAATTTTGAGGAAAACTTCTTAAAAGTGAAGGCTGTTGCCACAGAAAAAAGGTCAAGGTAAAAAAGAAATATTGACACAATTGAACAATTATATAACCAAGGATCACATAACAAACATTTTTTCTCCTTTATTTCTGACCCCACGAAAATAAGTTTTGACAAACGGGTGAGTAGTTGTAAATAAATTATGGAAAAGTCATTTTTTAAAATATTTATTTCTCTTTAAGTTATTTTGATAATTTTACATATAGAGGTATTTCAGGTATATATCCATTACATATAGAATATATGAGGCATATATCTACAAAAAACATTGCCATTTAAATGGCCAAAAGTCACTTGAAGGAGTCCGAAATAACACAATGGGAGTTTAATCTCTCATGTGGACAATGTGATATTCTCCTAAGAAATGAAACAGTAATGTGTAGTGAACTCTAAATGTTTCATTTCATTCATTCAATGGCAGTCGTATTTCACAGCATAATGACTTTGACATGTGTCTAAAGATTTTTTTTTTTTTGTGGGGCATATGTAATGGAAAAGTTAATGATGTGCATAAATTGACATTCACACTGACATAATTTTGGGGGATGTTATAACCATCACCATGGAAAGTTTTTAAAATATTTATTTTACTTTGGAAGTTTTAGCTTAATAAAAATATTCAATAGGTTTTAAAAGTGTGGCCTGTATGAACAAATATAAAATATCAGAGAATATATATCTTTTTCAAAATGATTTTAAAAATTATTCAAAGTGCTTATCACAAATTCTTTTAAAGAGTGGAAAGTATTAACGTTGTGGAAGGTTTAAACTTGGATTTTTTGTCATGGATTTTCTATTAAAAGTCTAGCAAAATTTCCTTGAAAGTGAAAATGAAACTTTCCCTATTTCTTCAATTTTTCTGGAAAATTTAACCTTATTTTCACAAAATCTTTTTGTTTTTTAAAGTAAAGTTAGACATTATTTTAATGACAGTGGTTATATTATTTACTTTTTTAATTATTATAAATACCCACGGCTACAGGTAAATTTTGAGACTGCAAGAACAAAGGCATGACATCACAGCAATGTTTTAATGCATGGATAAATACCCAGTCAACAGTCTTACTTTTTAAAAATTTGCAATAAGACTTAATGGTATGGAGGGAATTTATTTGTTTTGTGAGGAGGGGACAGCCATAAGTTCAGTTCAGTTTATTGAAGTCTCAAGGCATTACATGTACATCTCATAGACAATATTTACCATGTTTACAATCATACATTTTAACACATATAATGATGAAATAAACAAATTAAAGTTATGATCAAGAACAGCCAATTGCAACCATTTATGGGTACTGAAATTCTTGTTGCTTTGGAACATATTTTGGCATCATAGAATGGTACACCTCAATTTCTCTTGTGTGACAAAAATGATTTAATTTATTTTAAATCCTTTCGTATTCATTTGTCCATTACAATTTTTTTCAAGTGCCTTGTAGGCAGAGGATGTCCACATTCAAAGTATTTTCCCCATTGAAGGAGTGGACATTCTGATTATGGTGTAAAATTGATGTCCACATTTCAATCAGTAGCTCTGGATCTCCTCTGCAGCACAGTACCAAACATGATTTATTATACTCCTTACCCATGGCATCAATTCTTCATTTTCTTTTTTCTTTGCTATAGCTACCATTTTTTTTTTACAAATGCTATTTGCCATATGCCAGACATCAAATTGATGGGAAGCATCCAGCAATTGGTCCTTTATATATTTTCTTATTTGTATATGCCTGTCACTGCAGAAAATTTTGATACTGACATTATAATCAGTAAGAGATTTGGAAGAGCATTTGAATCCCTCCAGCTCCATTGAAGATGATGAACTAGATTCTGCAACTTGAATGACCTTGAAATCTAGTATTGCAGAGCTTACAGCTTCCATTACGGTGTATGTGCAGTATTTTGCATGAAACCCAGGACTATCACAATTTCCATCTTCAATAACTACTGTCAATTGTTTGTTTTTAAGATGTTTATGTTGTGAAACAGTCCTCTGTTCATGGTAAAAAGTATCCATTGCAGGCAGAACAAATTTGTTTCCAATATCATAAAATACAGTACTGATTTGCACTAATGTACTTGATCTAGAAGAGAATGTATTTCCAGAGGCATATGTTGCTGCTGTCAAAAGGATTATTTCCTACACGTTGCTTTCAAATATAAGGTTGATATTTCCAAGAATAGGAGTGATGATTTAAACATGAAAAATTGACCTTCAAGGCACTTCCTTCAATGGTTTTCCTTACATCTTCAAAATCAAATGGTGAATGACAGATCTGACATACAATCATTTTGAAAAGAACATCCAGGCAGCTTGAAAAAACCACAAACTTGGATTCATTGACAGTATCCTTTGATAAATTATTTCCTGCAGCCGTGGGGACAGAAGAACTAGCACTTGGTGATGAAACTGGTGATTCACATGTATTTTCAGAAAATTGAAACAAATCATCTTTTTCACATACTTGAGACAGGTTCTCTAGTGAATCATGAAAGGAATCTGAGGCAGGCTTTTTTGGGGGGAGTGGATGTAAGACTATAGGTGGGTCTGCTTCACTTGGCACTTTGCAGTAATTATGATCTGATATTGAGATTAATGGATTGATTCTTAGGATGCACGCTGGACCATGATTGGGTATTTCTATTTGTATATTACATGAAGTTGATTTATCTTCTGATTGGATGGGAATTTTTAAAGTTTCCTGATTTTTCATTTCTTCATTGAGCTAAAAAAATAAAGAATTTAAATTGCATGATTATTAGTTCATGTTGTATTAAATGTACAAGTAATCAAATTTCCACAAAGGGAAATGTATTCAAACAATATTCACCTTTATCTTTTTTGAAGATTTTACTTTTCCTGCTGATTTTCTCTTTCTGTGATTTATTGGTACATCTGTTTAGAAAGAATGTTGCAATGTGAAACTTTATACAAATCAGTTGATGTAGCACTACTCTCCTGTAGTTGCCATGTAAATGTCAAGCTTGAAAGATTAACTGCACACTAGGGAATTAAGTGACCTTGTTTATAAAACTGTCTTTATCAGTTAATATTCAAGAAGGCATCAAATAACCTGATTTGTTCATTGTTGATGGACAAGGTTGATCATCAGGCTCTGTTTTTGTAGCTTTACTCCAGGTTTTCATAACACTTCTAATTATCTGTAAAATGAAAAAAAAAAAAAGTAATGAACTTTAATTATCAATTCTCTACTCACAGTCAATATTATACATATTAATTTTTGTGAGTAAATTGCTGTTTATAATATATACACAAGTCTGAGGATGTTGTAAATGACCCATAGAATTACCTCTTGTTTCTTCTTTTTCTCAGATCTTTTTAAGCTTATTTGTCTTCTTTTCTTAGGCTTGCTGTCATCAAATATTGTAGGTACTGCATCCTCTTTTAATTGCTTTCTGTGTGGTGTGTATCCCATTATCTTAGCCTTTAAAAAATAATAAAATTATATTAATTTCACAAAAAAATATAAGCAGCAGTACATACTAGTGTTAGTTTTTATTTTTAGTCTGCTGTGAATACCATGTTCACAGCAGGAAACTCAAAAAAATAGAAAATAAAATAAAAAATGTAATAATACCCATGCATGGGTAATAGATTTCATATTTGTATATCTTTTAGGCCTAGAATCAATTGTTGATTATACAGATCGAATTATTAATAATGTTAAAACCTCAAACAACTAAAAAAAATATGTACCTACCCTTATATCCTCTTTGATGCAATCTTCCTTAAAATGTCGTTCACATACAATTTTATCTTTTGAAAAAACAAAAGTTTTGGGATTTAATTTTGCATTCCCAAGGTTCTGAATCCATTTTGCACAAAGTTCATAATTCTTTTTTGGATCAGGAATGCTAAAGGTAGATATTCCATTCCCTCTGACTACAGTGCAAAATTTTGCTAGACACTGTGGCATTTTAGGATATCGGAATGAGTTACACTGTGACTCTCATTTAGCAGTGCAACAGTTTAGTGCCACAGGCACAGCATCTGCATCTGTGATGACGCAAGTACGTCATCAGCCGCCATGATAAGGGAGTCTCCCACTGGACCCAGTCAAATGAATTTTCAGTGTAAATGACCGATTATTTCTTGTTATAACCAATAATTCATTTTAATTTGTAAGTCAAGTTATCTTCATGGTATCAATTTTCACGTATATTTTACATTTTTGCCAATACGTTTCTTTTAACTCTTCGTAAGAGTTATCTAACACCTAACATAGGAAATCAACATAGGCACGAAACAGAGAAAACCAGAAATTCTGTCCGGAATAATCCTTTCTTCCGTCGCCGCCATTGACAAGGTGCGATTACAACGGTATTCGTTAATAAAACTTTAAACAGTTCAAGATATACTGAAGGATTCTTCATTAAACTTTAGAATTATATAGTCCTTGGTGTTACCATATCCATAAAGGTTAAAATCATGTATGATGATGGTTTTTAGGCTTGATTTGAGGGAGATTGTGTTGGATGGTGGATCTTGTCACGAATTTACTCTAACATACATTGTCCTATGGTTTTGTTTACAATGTAAGACATTTTCATATGTAATGTAAGAATTGAAGAATGTCTCTTATCTCATCTCTATTTGAACTTTGGAGGAACATTTTATGACTTTGGTGATGGGCTTGTACATATGTTCCTGGTGTAGTACCTTGTTTACATAGAAATGAAAACCAAACGTGGTTTGTAAAAACTATTTTGTGACACTATTCCTTGCTGAAAGTTGAACAAGAGCATAAATTTGATGTTTGAGGGAAATTTGGAACAAAAGATGGTTGGGGACCTGAGGCATTACAAGTTTTTGGATGTCATTTTGAACTGCTTCCAAACACAAAATTATAGTATTAGTACCTAGATTTAACTCATGTTTATCATTAGCAAGTTTTAGGGAACCATTACCTAAGGGGGAAATACATAAATAAATCTTGTGCAAGTGATTATAGAATGAGTTCCAGCATCTGATGTGATTTATTTCCTCAATAGAAAATAATGAAACCATTTTCATTTTAGATGTACTCGGCGAGCGCTAAAATTGTGAAGCCGCAAGGCGAAAAGCCAGATGAGTTTGAGTCATCAATTTCTCAGGTGAGTGTAATTGAAAACAAAGATACTTGTGGAAAAAAATTATAGGTGTTCTGCATTTTTAATATAGAATATTATACAACCTGATCCAAGTGATGGATATAATTGCAAATGGGCTATAAATTTAAATCAAAAAATTAATTTTGAACTTCTCTTCAAAATGTTGCAGAGTGCTTGTAGTATACCCCCAGCGTTGTTTGGCGTTATTGTTGAAAATTTTCACCATTCCCAAAAATATAAGCCCTACCCAAACCAAACTTGCATGGTGAAATGTCTGTTCTGCTCACCCCATGCATTGAAAATAATTGTGTTATTCATGATATTGTGATGATGATTGTTTATTGAATTTTCAGGCTCTTCTGGAGCTTGAGATGAACAGTGACCTTAAGGCACAGCTCAGAGAGCTGTACATAACAGGAGCCAAGGTACAGTAATAACTAATATTTGTCTCTATTCTTTACTACTATTTTATTTACTTATTTTTTTTACTCTAACATTCTCAGTATTTAAACTCCCCTTTAATTTAACGCTTAGCTCAATTGACTTGGATTTAAGTACTGTAGATTCCTTATTTTCAATCGTACATATTTTCGTGAAAGGGTTCTTCAAAGTCAAATCTCAAAAATAATAATTCTTGGATGGATGATTGATCAAGAGATTTAACAGATTTTCAGCACCATAAAAATAAAATTTTATTTTATTTCGTGCATTGTGCTTCTCGCGAAATTATGGAATAATTAATTCCATGCATATATTTCGGAATCTACAGTATATATTGTGACAAAACTATTATAACTAGCAGCTAATTTAGTGATTAGTGTTTTGTTATTCAAACTGTCTCCTCTGTCAGGAAATTGATGTCCAAGGCAAGAAGGCTATTATGGATGATGTATCTAGGGATGGACACTACCAGACTTGCTTCGGATGCTGGATCTGACCTAAATTTTCATTCAAGACTATAAGAGAGCTAAACCAAATTTGCATGGAAAACACGTGTATTTATTGCACAGGTTGGTTGGATTTTTCTTATGCTGGATCTGAAAAAAATTTTTTTTCCCAATGAACTATAAGCCCTAAAAAAAGTTTTTTAAAAAAGACAAATTTATAAATCCAATATAAGACAAAGGCCTATGCTGGATATGACCTATATTTTGAAAGCACCAGGTTAAAAAAAAGAAAAATCTTATTATAATGAACTTGAAGTCCTTGATATCTGCAGTATTAACAGTTATAAATATTTGTTTACACATACATGTTGTTCACCTACACGCATAGAAATGTGTATATGCCATGTGGGGTTAATTAATAGCAATAATATTGCTGTTGAATTAAACTTAATATTAAGAAATATTGCATGTGAGATTTGCATTACTTAAACTGATAACATTCTCATAAGCTCATTGACATCAATATTAAAAACTAAAGTATTGTAGTTTCTGTAAGGTTTTGAGCCCTCTAATTTTGTACACAAGAGTAATTGTTGAATACTGTGTTTTGTATGCCCAGTGTTTAGAATCCTCTCCTAAGTTCCTTAACTTCTTGGATCAGACAAGGAGGAAGGGTTGCAGAAAAGACCTAAAGTTATCCATTTTAAGTGATTTGAATACACAGCAGTTTTGTACCAAAATAAAATATTTCAATTTTTGCACTGAAAAAAAATTTGGACAGTGCTTTGTTGAAAACGGACAATCATATCCCATTTGGGCGATTGGTCCCAACCTGTAGAAGTGTATACAACCTGAACCAAATGATGAAGGGCCTGTAGTAAAAAGAAATCTATTATAATTTTGTACTTCTCTTCAAAATGTTGCAGAGTGCTTGTAGTTGCTTGTTTGCTTTATTTATTGTTGAAAATTCTCACCAGAAAAAAAATCTTACAGAGTAATATTTCTTAGGCCCTGAAAACGGAGAAATGTCTGTTCTTCTAACCCCATGCATTGAAAAATATTGTATTTAATTTATGATATTGTTAACATGATTGTTTATGAAATTTTCAGGCTCTTCTGGAGCTTGAGATGAACAGTGACCTTAAGGCACAGCTCAGAGAGCTGTACATAACAGGAGCTAAGGTACAGAATTTATATCTGTTTTAAGTTTCAAACTTTGTTTTTTAGCTTACCTGAGCCAAAGGCTCAAGTGAGCTTTTCTGATCACATTTTATTTTCCGTCGTCCGTCCTTCCGTCTGTAAACCTTTCACATTTTTGACTTCTTCTCAAGAACCACTGGGCCGATTTTAAACAAACTTGGTACAAAGCATCTTTGGGAGGGGGGGGGTGGTTTGAATTGTTAAAATGAAGAGCCAGGTCCTCTCACAAGGGGAGATAATCAAGAAAAGACAAAAATAGGGCGGGGTCTTTAAAAAATCTTCTTCACAAGAACCACTGGGCCAGAAAAGCTGAAACTTATGTGGAAAAATTTAGATTTTTTTGTTCAAATCATGACCCCCAGGGGTTGGGTGGGGCCACAGTAGGGAATCAAATTTTTACATAGAAATATATAGGAAAAATCTTTGAAAATCTTCTTCTATAAACCATTGGGCACACAAGCTGAAACTTATGTGGAAGCATCCTGGGGTAGAGTAGATTCTAAATTGTTCAAATCATGACCCACGGGGTTTGGGCATCCCCAAAATAGGGAAGTTTTACATAGAAATATATAGGAATTTTTTTTTAAATCTTCCTCTCAAGAACTACTTGGCCAGGAAAGCTGAAACTTTTGTGGAAGCATTCTGGGGTAGTGTAGATTTTAAATTATGACGTGTGGATACAATGGGGTCACAATATTGTTATTACAAGGGGGGGAAAAAATCTGGTTAAGAGTAGCATGGTCAAAGCTTCTCAGGTGAGCGATGTGGCCCATGGGCCTCTTGTTACTCCAACATTCTCAGTGTTTAAAGCTTTGCTCAAATTACTGGACTTGAATTTATGTTAATGATACTGAACTATCATAACTAACTGCTGATTTAGTGATTAGTATTATTTTGTTATTCAAACTGTCTCCTCTGTCAGGAAATTGATGTCCAAGGCAAGAAGGCTATCATGATCTTTGTACCGGTTCCACAACTCCGAGCTTACCAGAAAATCCAGACAAGACTGGTCAGAGAGCTGGAAAAGAAGTTCAGTGGAAAACATGTAGTATTTATTGCACAGGTTGGTTGGCATTTTTCTTATTGGATAAAAAAGACAAATAATAATTTACAGATCCAATCTAAGACAAAGGCCTATCTGGAGAATTAACTCCAATCTTTGAAAACAACAACAAAAAAAGAGAGAAATCTTGTGTAATTTTATTTGACACAAATTTTGACCATGGTTGTTAGATAAAAGCTTTACATTAAACAAGCACACTTGTAGAATTCAGTTGCACACCTGCTGATGTAAATAGTGTGTCTTGTGAAGTATATGAAATATATGTAGCAATAAATAATCTACTTTACTTAAACTTTCTGCAGAGATATTGCATATGACTTGGACTTTGTAGAAGAATGCTTATAAGCCCATTGACATCAGTATTGAAAAACTGCATAAGTATTGTGCGTAGTTTGTAAGTTAAGCTTTCGTAAGGTTTTATTTGTTGGCTCTGATTGGTGAATGCTGTGTTTTGTAGAGGAGAATCCTCCCTAAACCTACCAGGAAGACGAGGAGGAAGAACAAGCAGAAGAGACCTAGATCGTACGCATATCTACCCACAAACAAACAATCCAGTTCTGTACTAAAGAAATCAATGTCTTATTGTTGAGAAAAAAATTGACAGTGCTTTGGATGGAATTAGTCTATTGAATAAGTTACCTATCAATCCAAAGGTTTAAAGTTGGGCAAAATTGTTTTGAAATAGACCTTTGGGTATGATTTTAGATCGTTGCCTTATCTCACAAAATTTGTTTATACTGTATAAAAAAAAATCTGCAAATGTTTAAGCTACATATAAAGAATCAAAACAATCTGATCTTCAGAAAAGCACTTCTTGCAAAAATAAATTCTGATATTAAAAAACTGAACAAGTGAACAAGAAAAGTTTAGCAATTCAACAACTTTCATTGATTTGTTGGAGGAGTGTTGCATATGATCAATTAATGTCCAATAGAAAGTAGACATAAGGTCTTTT